ATGGATCAGCCGTTATTCAAAAGAGGTGATCTCGCCTAGTATAATCATACACTCTCAAGTGATGGACTGTTGGCTCATGGATCGCTGTGAGTTATTGGCGGATCTTCCACCATACCGCGAGCCGTTTCACTTCAATTAGATATTGTCAGTTTAAGTTACGATATTATGGTTCCCGCCCCCACCCTACATTGTTCTTTATTCCTCAGAATAACTCAATTGTGTGTAAGACGCACTCTGTTGATTTATTCGATTATTCACGATCCATCCAAAGCACATCTAATCTTCGCCTTATTTTGCATTTTCGTATATTTTGCATCGTGCTCCTTGGTTTGAGCTTCAATACACACAATCCATTCGTTGGAAATGGCCTTATTTTATGTTCTAGTTATACTGTTAAAGCACGATCAGTGATGGGATTGGTATGTGGTTGTTTTGTTCAAGAGAAAAATAGGAGCAAAGAAAGAGCAATGAAGAATAGTGGATTTTCGGTGTTTAGTGTGAGAAGAATTAAAAAATCGCCATAAGAATTAAAGTCAATGGTCACCGCACCCAATTTTCCTTGTGTAGGCGTAGATTCATTGTATTGATGGACAGGGGAGACTGAGAAGAAAGATGGCGAAAACGCTCTGATTGGATGCCTGCGATTTTAGTTGAGAGAGCACGTGATTCATTCTCGAGTGTGCCACAGACGCTGTCCCCTTTGGACGTGGGACGGGGTGATTGCGATGTCACTACCGTCTTTAGCTCGCCTTAGATTTTTCGTGTGATTCATGCTGCTATTCAAGTCAGGATATCTGAGTGAAGCAGCAGAAGGATTCCATGGAATCGATTACAATGACGGAGCGGCATAGAGAGGAGTTGTGGCTGGCTAAGGTAAGGTCATGGTGTGGAGTCTTGTCACATCAGCTTTTTGTTGCTTGAGCAGGACTTCGACAGCACTCGCCATAAAAGGCTGGCTTTTACATGTTTGTGGGAATATTTCGCAAGACGTTTCTTTTCTGTTATCATTATGCCCTTTGTCGGTATTTCTTCATCTCCGAAAGGGTTTATCCTTCAACGTTTTTTTTGCTTGCCAGAATCCGCAGTCCGTTGAACCTAGATTGAAAACGTAGGATTTTTTTGGAATGCTGTTTTAGCTAGCAGTGAATCGATTAGTGGCCCTAAGCAATTTTCAGACTGGGCATTGATTTACATGGTTGTTTGTATTTATGAAGATTTGTCTGCGCGAAACCGGTTGAGGTGATCTTTCAATCGCTCGCCTTCTTTTTAGCAGCTGCCCGTTCTTGAGCGAAACTGAGGCGGTTCCGAAAAAGGTGTCCCTTTCTGCCTTTCTTGGACGTAATGTCTCCTGCTGCTCAATTCATCCTTGATCTGGACGCGAGAACCCGCTTGCAAACCATCGGAGCAAACGTTCGCAGTATCGCGTCGAAAATTGACAACTCTCAATGTATTTTAAAGAAATTCTGTATAAGTAAAACCGAGTTATTGCCACAAGGTTGGGAGGCGGGAAAAAGTGTGGCTTGTAGTGGAAAAGGCACGTCCCTTACTATGTATAGCAGTCAACGGCGGATCAAATCGTGGCTTGTTGTGAACCGTTCGTCATGCCCGATCCACAGAGATTTTCATATCCCTGCCGTGGTTGGCGGTCGATTCACATTTTTCGGGTACCAGCTGTCTGGGAGATTGAAACACTGATTGTACCATCGGTCTGGAGACCCGTATTAGTCATTGTTATACCGGCCTGATTCAGCTTATTTTCATGAATGCCTGCCTCTTTGCGAATGTACAAATGGAAGGAAGTAAGGCGTTGTGCCGCATCCCAAAAAGGATTGATTCAACGACGGCAAAGCTTTATCCTTTTTTTATCGCCACGGGGTTCTCCTTCGTTGCTTTGTCACTCTTCCAACGACCACAGCTTCTTTCATGATCAACCTTCATTTTTTTCAGTTTTTTGCAAATGCGAAAACAGCTGTCGCAGTTATAAGCTTATGCTTACTAAATAGTGCTAAAGCGTACTGAAAGCTGTTAATTCAAATGGTGAATACATTTTTGACGTTAACCCTGAAAATTGTATGTAGTGGCTTCCTTTCTGTCGAAGAGTTCCTCCCGGAAACCTCTCGATTTCTCTCAAAATCACATTTCTTTCGCACAGCAACTGACAAGGGGGGGGGTTCAGGGGAAGGCGCGCTTTTTGCATATTGTAGGGACGCATGTAAGGACCACAAAACCATGTTTCGTTTTCGCTGAACGGTTTAGTAGTATAAAAAAGAAGCATGAAGGTACTGTTGATGGTTCGATCCCCGCGACTAAATTTTGCAATCAAGGTTGGCGGCCACTTGTTGGCTTCAAAATGGTCCTGACGATGAATTTGACATCTGATTTTGATATTTAGCGCGATTTGGCACCAACCGTAGGCGTGCAAAATTTAGTCGCCACGGGGGATCGAACCATTAACAGTACCTTATGCTTCTTTTTTGGTACTGCTAAAACCGTTCAGCGAAAATGAAACATGGTTTTGTGTTCCCTACATGCGTCCCTACAATATGCAAAACCGTTTTGAAAAAGCGTGGCTTGCCCTGAAAGACCTCCCTTGTAGGGCATGGCATTGGTCGAACTCGCTCAGGGGACGCCTTGCTCTCGACATACAGCGCAATATGTTGGTTCATCACTTACGCCTCCCCCCTCCCCGCACGCTTGACCCTGATTAAGCTGCCCACAATAATACCCAATACATTTTTGACCCAACCCAAAAGCACATTATTGCCTCAGAAACTCGGCATTGGATGTGAGCCCTTTGCTTGCCCTGAATCAACAGCGTTGGGCGAGGAACGAAGCCAACCATCAATCGAAATTTCCCTTTCTCTCCAGGATGACCTACAAAGGATGGCTGGATCACATGTAGCAAAGTACCCTATTCTGCTTATTGAAAATGTATTGTACAGTGCGAGATTGAGAATTTTTTGCGCTAGCATAACCTGCGGGAGTGTCCCATACTTTCAAAGACAATGTGGACTATACAGGGTGGTCCAAAATTATGAGGACCGCGTGCGTTTCATGAAGTTCTCAAAACTAGTGAAATAACTACTTCACTTTAGTCAGTCCTCAAATTGAACTCACTAGGGGCTCTGGCACGTTACATCTAGCAGCAGTCTAACCTATCAGAGAAGCCCTTATGAGCAACAGTTCAACTCTTCAATAAGTTTGGAATCACCACAGATGGTAGTTTTTGCAAACCTAGTTGCCGCGCTGTCGTCAAGGTGTTAAGCAGACCTAGGAAGAACATTACACTGTATGCCAAGGTACAGTAAACGTTGAACCCGAGTGCTTATGTGAAGGCCATAGAAAAAAGTGAACGATGACTGAGGAGAAAATCGCTGTGAAATGTTTAACTATTATTATTATTACTATTAGATTACTGTTTGTTTTGAATAGTACCACAATATAGTACGTAATCGCAGTCGTGGTTGATATGTATTTCGTTTAAATCTCATGATTAAAGGAATCCTTCACGGAAAAATCATGATTCTATTTCAGCCATAAATCACTGGCTTGAGACTCATTATCCACGATAAGAATGAAAAGAACAGAAATATTGCTTTTGTTTTGGTAAAAATTCGAAAAATCGAAAGGGCTGCTACGCGTTCAAAGTGCCCACGGACGTCTTTCACAAATGCTGGCGACGGGGATGCTTCCACTTGGTTCTTGGAGTGCCTTCACTAGAAACTCTTTCTGGCCTTCTGCTTATTGCATTCACATCTTACACTTCTACTCCATCCTATTCTATCGATCGATTTGTCTCTACTCTCCGAAATCGCGCGCTTTAACCCGATTCTTTCATTGCGTCGCCTGATACGTAGCCGGCCAAAGGCCAACTTCTTTCCATGCCTCGCCTTTGGCTCCGCCCGAATTACCTGACGTAAGCAAACCAGCCCTTTTGGCACATCGGCTGGGACCGTATGCTGAATGTTGGGGAGGGGATGGGGTCCCCAACGGTCGACGGTTTACTTCAACTCGGTTGGTACGATAGGAGAGTACTGACGCAAGTGGTGCAGCTGGTCCAGCAGCTTCGCCACTCAATAACCGCAGCCTCAATACAGAGATGCCGGTAGCGGTGTCGGTTATCTCCTCAGCCCTTGGACCTCACCCTTGGACTAAGCTTAGGAGAGGGGACGGACCCGTCCTCTCTTTAAGGCTTAGTTCTAAGGTAAGCGCCAAATTGTGGCGGTTCTAAGGACCGCGTTGAAGTTGTCCGTCCACCGTCGGGGACACCAAATCAGACACCTCCACCTAAGACTTCACTCATTAGCTAATCGGGGGTCCCAGCTTATGTGGCCAACACAGGGGCTCGGTTTCGGCATTTACGGTCTCTCAATATTAGCCTATCGATGTCCATTGTGGCCCACAGACTGCATGGTGTCATAGTATTTTGCACACGCGTCACCACGAAGTTATGGAAGTAGAATGCGTGCCGCATCCCAAGACGGGATTGATCGACGGCAAAAAGCTTTATCCTTTATTTTTGCCGAGCTTTCATGATGAAATTTCGTCATTATGACTCCCCGCTGTGCACTGTGTTAGAATTCACCGACCTTCCCATGTAGTTCTTATCAAGACCGTTAGCCTAAGTTGTAAGTTCAACAAATTTCCGATTTCGATGGTCTCTTTATTGTTTCTCTTCGGAACCGAATCATCTTCATGCGTGAAAGTTTGTGTGGTGTTTACAGTGATCACAACTGAATCCATGTCAAGAAAAGAATGCAAGAATTTTCCAAAACTTCGTGAAACCAAGGTGCTTGAAAAGCACGAGATTCCAAGTTTGAGCCCTGATAACTCAAAGCTTATTCCTCACAATTCGATTCCCTGTGGTAATTAGCCGTAACTTTTTTTTCAAATTTTTAGGAATTCTCAACTCTCATGCTTGCTTGAATAGTTTATTGAACCTGACAGTTACGAAAAGAGACCCATAGGTTGCGGCCGCCAGTGGACGCCATTGGACGCAATTAGTGCAAGCGATGAACACGAGCCAAGCGACGACGGTATCCACCACCATTTCCCATGCTCTGAAATCCGGTCGGCATATTACTAAAACTGCTTCAAGAGGATTACTTGAAATAACCAATTGATTCAAGTTTCTGAAAGCCTACCATTTCGCCACTAGCTGGAACTGGTGCGGGTGGTGGGACTGCAGCTCCTGTGTCAGTTGGTGCTGATGGTGGAGGTGGAGCTGCTCCAGTGTCGATACTGGTGCTGGCTGGAGCAGGCGGTGTGGTGGTGGAGTAGCTCCCGCATCTGTGGGAGGAGCTACAGAGTCGCAACTGGAGGTGCTGGTGGGACTTGAGAGCCAGCATCGTTGTTGTATCCTTGCTGGTCTCCACCATCAGAGGAGATCGGAGGTGGAGCAGGCTGCACAACTTCCGCATTCTCGTAGCCCGAAGGTAAAGCAGCCAGAGCAGCACCAGCAATTGCGAGAGGATAAGGAAATGCATCTTGTGAGGAGTTGAGTAGCTGAAAGAATCGGTTTGGAAAAATTCAATTGAAGTGTGTGAACTGGACAAAAAAGGAGAGAGAGCAGCTACAGGTAGCAAAATGGGGAAATTTCAGTTCAGGCTAAATGGTAAGAAAACTTGGTTTGAGAGTTGACTGAGGTGACATTGCCACGAGATCCGGGCATTTATACCATGAAGGTGCCGTTTACTACCAGGCCGATTTCCAGTTCCTGAAAGTTTTTTGTGACGAGCCGCGCACAGCACGAGCAGATCACTCAACCGAAATAAACACTGTTTGAAAGTGATAAAGTTTCAAGGTTGGCTTTTTTGGGTAGCGCTTTTTTGAACGCATACCAGCACTTACTGCAGCCTCTCATCATCCGTGGGATCTCTCGCGTGAGCTCTTCCCTCGGCGCTCAGTATCTCCTCGTCATGTTATCCGCCTCAACAAAGGGAAAGCCTTTGATGTCAGGGTTTTGTCGTATTCTTGTCCTTTTTCCTTACTCGCTCCATTACACCTCGCTATCCTCTACTTCATTTACGTGGTTCTAAGAATTACACCATTTGGTAGAGGAGTGCCTTTGAAGTACGTTAAATATTACGGCAAAGAGCTAATGCTATGGCGCAGGCAACTACGCTAAAACTGTTTAAGGAATAGAATCTACTTCCAAAGTAGCTGTTTAGCGGTCAACGCTAGCACCTCGGTGATTCACTTTGCCTTGGTGGTAACGATTGTATTGACGTTAAGCAAATTCGAGTGTCTTTTTCTGCAATGGAGACGACTGAAGTTCGCTCTTGCACTACCCAATTTGTGCAATCCCTTACCTGAAAATAGTTGTTACTTTGTATTACTACTGCGCTACTTTATACTACGCCTTATGACCATGTAAGACTACTCACGCCGGGAAAAGTGCCAAAGGGAACAGATGCACCACAATTCTCTTCAAGCATATTCGAGGATATCCACGTTTTTCCGGGACGATCCTCACTCTCGACAGACGAAGGTAGCGTAGTGGAAAGTGAGTCATTTGAAAGAATACTCTTGCTATAGGAATTGAATCCCATGTCGAATTGCGTCGGGCCTGCGAAACCTTCTATTTCTCTGTATCTGGGTAATAGAAGCAGACTTGCCTGCACAGTCACTAAATCGCATCGGCCTTGATTGGCAAGCGGAAGCGATTGAGCGATTTACAGTGTGATCTCGCATACTTCGATTTTGTTATATTTTGTTTCAAACATTATTTTTTCCCTAATTTAAGATTACTGTAAGATCAGTCTCAGGAATAAAGGAATCGATCACGGAATAGTCGTGACACTATTAGGTTGGAAAAAAGTTCTGCAACACTCTTTCTAAAATTTTCTTTTTTTCTGAAAAATTCATAGGTAACATTTATGACTAAAATGGTAGAGCATTCTCGAGGCTTCAATCCACGAGGTGGATATAAGTGCTGCAGTCAGTAGTTATCCAAGAAAACCTCGACCACTGGTGAAATCCATACTCCGAGTCACTGTCTAGTACAAATGTTTCCAAAACTATGGATTCGTGTCAACGACCGACACTATCTGTAATAGCTTTATTAACCATGCCGTTCACCGCTACAGCGTGTTTCACCTTTACCAGCGCTTTCCATCTTTTGATATTCTTATAAGAAGCCGCACACTCATTACAGACAGGGCTATTACGAGCTACTTCACAAGTTCTTCTTCATGGGCACCACCGTGTAGGTAGAGCTCTATGGTGCGAAAGTCCGGAAGTTGGTCGTTCTTTCGTCAAGAGCCTTTGCACCGCGACAATATCTATTTCCTGATGACATCGGCGTTAGAACTCATCGAGGAGTGTATCCAGGCAAAACTGGGGAAATTGAAGTGCTCAAGGAACTCTTAAATTCTCATTTTCCCGCTTCGAATCCGTGGTCAACTTTATTTGTGGTCTTGGCTCCCTGCGAAGCTCGAAGCGTTCACGCTCACAAAGTCTCTTTTTAGAGAGAACATGACTCGTACCTACTACCCGTCTGGTACCCATCACTGAACTCGATCGAAGTTTTCTTATCAAGGCGATGCAATGATGGCCCATGCCACCACTTCGGTGTCCCGTTCAAGTTACAACTGGCCCATGTCATCATTTTCGCTCGCTCGGTACGAAAATTTTTCCAGAGAGAATCCGACAAAGTTCGGCGATGGGTACTACGCGGATTGTGAGTGCAACTCATATTCTCTCTGAAGAGACTTTGTGAGCGTGAACGCTTCGAGCTTCGCGGGAGCCGAGACCACAAATAAAGTTGACCACGGATTCGAAGCGGGAAAATGAGAATTTAAGAGCTCCTTGAGCACTTCAATTTCCCAGTTTTGCCTGGATACACTCCTCGATGAGTTCTACAATAAGCAGCAGGAGCGATCGCAAGAGTGAGCACACAGCACTTTCTCTGATAAAGCGTTTTCATGCTGCTACCGTCCAGTATTAGGGCTAATATTCCGAACTAATTAGTTATAAATGCTCCACCATTTGTGTGCATTGCATAAGTGGAGGATTTTCTCATTTGTACTGCATGCACACCGTAGCTGAATAGCGTTAGAGACATGAGAAATTCTGAAGAAACTTTAGGATGGCATAAGCAATTGACGCGGCCCATTTTCTTCAAAAGAACAGAGCAATTCAAATCCACGCGTTAACCAAAATCAAACAACACCATTCTTAGTTTTCCGACACGCCGAAAACGATGGTTGCTATGCCGATTTACGAAATTTCCAAATAAGTCAGAAAACTGAAAAAATCAGGGGGTGGCATATACAATTGACGCGCACTGTAGAGGCATGCCTTCACATTGGTGTGGCTCTTGCACATGTATCCGTATAGGTTTGGTCGCGAAATTGGCCCGTCGGCCAGCGAAGAAAGAAGAGATCCGCGAAACGATTTGGTTGAGGGATCACCTACCTTCCTATTCGACTGTGCTTAAGGGAATTGTGAGAGCAGGGTCAACCCTATGTTGCTACAAGTAGCAACGGGGGTCGTACTTGGATGGACCCGGAGGGGGGGTCGTACTCTCTCGGTGGCCGGCAGTGGGATTTGTGGTAATCTCCCTACTGATCATAACCATGTTTCAGGAAGAGCATGAGAAAGGAAGACTTGCAGAAACAGCAGCTGCAAGACATGTAGCATCGTTCAAAGAAGTACTCCCACCATGACATGGGTCCACCCACGAAACCACATTTGAAACTAAAGTGTAGCTGGTTATTGCCTAAGACAACATGGACAATAGTCACCACATTACGTTTACGCAAGATAATTGATGCTAGAGCATCTGTAAGCCGCTTCCTTCTGAATGAGCTTTCAAATGAGTCAGCGAATCAGGAGTGCGACCGAGGCGTGGCGCACACCAAGGCAGGGGATATCAGTGCAAGCGCATGCACAAAGCATTCTAACACATCCTATGGTCAGCAGATATCTTTTCCCTGGACGTTGCGGCCAGTGAAACCTAAAAAAAACCGCTTTCTTAAAGAGAGGAATTCACGATTAGAATGAAGGTCGAAGAAAGGGAAACTGCCCTAGTTGAGGGACCCGACTCCTGAGGGTGCGAACTGATGCGCAATTCGCATCGAAAAATTTGACCTCGGCGACCTATTATGCCTCAAAGTTGGCGGGTCTGGCGATCTCCGCCCACCGATCATCTGATCACTCGCCGCAGTTCAATACGTGGCGAGTGATTAGATAGCTGAGAGAGCGTAGTGTTGAAGAGGGCACAGCGATGAGAGTCGCATCAATGCTCGAATCAACGGGCAAGGAAGGGGTACCATTTCTCGGGTTCTGGGCCGTTTCTCATGGTTCTTCCTTCTTTCGTGTACCACTCACCATCCCTAGGTTAATTTGAAATGGGTTGCTTTTTCATCGTGAATTCGTCCTTTAAGAGGAATGGCTCGGAGAAATGCCCCTCAAAAAAATGTAGCAACGGGACTAATTTTTGAATACTCACTTTTAAGAACTTTTGGGTACTTTTGAATCCTGTAGTTTCTCATACCGTGTTCAGCTTCCCAAATAAATGAGTTTGAAGGAAGTTATAGTCGTTTAAAGGTTGAAAAGTCGCGGTTTCAGAAAAATAGTTCCGCGAACCCCCCTAAAATGTAGCAACGGGACTAATTTTTGAATTACTCACTTTTCAAAAACGTTCGGGTACTTTTTAGAAAGCTTGAATCCTGTAGTTTCTCATACCGGGTTCAGCTTCCCAAATAAATGAGTTTGAAGGAAGTTATGATCGTTTAAAGGTTGAAAAGTCGCGTTTGCACAGAAAAAAGTTCCAACGTGCTAAATTTTTACTAAATTAGCTTTCGATGAATTTTCAGATATGATTGGAGAGAGAATGATTTGAATTTTTTATAATCAAATAACTCCGACGCAAAAGATCGAATATGAAGAAAGTTATAGCCCGAAAAAGAGGAAGGTGGAAATTGTAGTGCAAACTCATTTCCTGCTCAATAACTTAATTATTTCAGATTGTTTAAGAACAAATCCGCTCCACTTGAGAAGGATGACCCTTGCTGATCCAAAATCCACCTCCGTCTTGCGAGAAACCTGAAATTTTCCAAGGAAAAGTTCCTATACTTCTCGATTTCCCATTTCGACACCTGCTCCCATTCAACAAACGCGCCCCATTGCAGCACCCAGCGCGCGATTCAATACATTCGAAACCTGTCAACACGCGTTTCCACTACCTTCTCGGCATTCTCAATCATTTCCCCCACTTCTCCATAATATGACGCCACAACCCACCCGTTTTCTCCAGCGGAGAATGCTTAATGACGTACTCTGAATCTCCTATGAAAACTCACCAGTAGGATTTTGGGCACAATGTGGCTGGGGGGGAGGGGGACTCTGTAGAAACGTCTCTGGGACTAAGCCTGCGCATTTTGTTTAGTCCTGATCTCGTGAAGTTTGAAATGTTCTATTATTTTATACTTTTCCAGGGTGAAAAGAAACCTCATTATAGAGATAAAAGGAATAAAAAATT